GTCGCCATCAGCTTTCTTCACCACATTTGCTTGTGCATGCATTTGTCTTCCCTACACGATCATGTCAGGAAGGTGAACATCACAGAGTTCTGTGTTAGTAGAACAAATAGTTCTTGCATTGAGGGAGTGCTTGAGTGGAGGCCCAATGTCCATCTGTTGCCATAATACTTTATAAATAAACATATGTACATAGATCTATTCCCCTGTCATTATATATGAATGTATTTACATATATACATGCGTGTATTTAGACCTCTCTAAATGTCCTTTGCCTCCCAGTTCTTTCTTCTATATTTCCTTTTACTTTCCTCCCATCCCACTATCATGTTTGGCTTCATTCGGGTTTTGGTAATTCCTCTCGGCTACATTGCCCTTGAATGAGCACCCCCAAACGTCCTATGCCCTACTCGCCATCAATTTTAGATCACTTATTCTTTTCTTGTCCCTGGGCTTGTTGACACCCTCCCTCCTTTTCCCCACCTCCCCCTCTCCCGTGTCTCCCCGGAACTGTTAGTCCCATGTTCTCTTCTCCGAATTGTTCATCCCCCCTATCTTGTCCAGATAGACATGCATAGACAATAATACGCGTAAAAACAAAGCAAGTCAAAACATAAAAAAAGAAGACAAAAATAAATCAACAGCAGCTAATACAACAAAACAAACAAACAAGCAAATTAATTAATTAAAAACCAACAGCAAAAACTGAAAAGCCCTCAAACAGTTCCAGGTTTGTCCGTTGACCTTTATGAGTGTTTTCCAGTTGAGTCCACTGGGAGTGCCTCCCCCTGGCTCCAAAGTCCACCTTTGGCCTTCCTTGGGGACTTTGTTGCTTTGCTCCCCTTGCTGCTCAGCTGTACATCTCTAGTGTTTCACCCCGGTGCGGCTGGGTCAGATTGGCCAAATATCCCATACTGTGTCCCCAGTGCTGTCCCCCTTAGTGCTATGTATCAGTGAGGGACGTGGTCGCGCCCCGTGATGGGGCCGGCCCTGTGATCCTCTCTGTGCATTGGCTGCTCTGAGCTGGAATATTGTCCTCAGGGCTTGGTGGGCCAGG